TAAAATATTTATTTAATAAATTGAATAAGCTCAGATTTTCTTCTTGTGTTTAATCTCTGCAGATTTCCTCAGTATTTATGCTTGCACTAACTTCTAAATAATCAGTCTTCAAAAGCTTGATCATGACTGGCTTTGTTGATTGAATTTCTACATAGAGTATAATTTTAATGCTAATATTCACTACTGTATCTGTACTTGTTGCACTCAGTGGATAAATAAGGGAAGCTATTGCACTGGAACCATAGGACAATATTTTGTGTCCTTAGTTTTTTCCTTCGAGTTAAGCAAGCATATGTTGACTGCTTAACAGAAAGCATACTATAGATTCTTCATAGCTAGTATGTTTTCCACTAGAAATTAATAGCAGTGCACTGTATTGGGTCTGTCTGGGATGGAGTTAACTTTCCCGGTAGCAGAGCTTGCAGTGCTGTGCGTTGTAGCTAGAAGCAAAACACAGCAGTGTTTTGCCTACTGCTGAGGCCACACATGGAGTGCTGTGTGGCTGCTGGGATCACCAGTTACAGAGAGATGTGGACATACTGGAGAGAGTTTGGTGAAAGGCCACCAAGGTGATGAAGGGGCCTGGAACTGGCTGTGTTTGGCACAGAGCAACCCTCGCCTCTCCTCACAGGAGCTGTACCTGGGTACTTTCACGCTGTACAGGTGCACCACTGTACCACCTTTACCAGGGTTGAGGCACACTTTTAACCTCTGTATCTCTTAAATTTTTGTCCAGAAATAAGTTCTACGTAATACCGCTCAGTGTCGATTGACAGAGTGATTGATGGCACCAGTTGTCTTTTGGCAAGCAAATGCAGTGATAGGCGTTTCACAGAAAGCTAGCAAAACAGTGTTATATTAAGGATGCCTAATTGTAAGGTTGTGCTAGGCATAGTCGTGTGAAGTCTGCACTGTCTGTGCTGCACTATGTTGTGTGAAAAAAGGGTGGTTTTACAGGATATTGTGGATGCTTCTCTTACTGTGGTGTGTGTCATGCTACTAGGGACATTATTTGGAAGTTTCTAGTTACTCTGTTGTATTTGAAAATAATCTGAGAGACATCTTGAAAGAATTATGGTCAAAGATCATTACTTGGAGGTAAATAGGTTACTTATTCCTGTAATACTTTTTTTTTTCCTCCCAGAAAAGGAGCAAATCGATTCCTGACTGTAAGGAAGAAGGATGGTTCAGAACTAACACATGCAGTAATGACTTGTTGCTTGGCTCCCAGTACGAAACGTGCTATTTGGAGTTTAATTCAGAGATTTCCTGTCACAAAGAAAGAACGAACAGAACTTCTGCCAAAGATGGAGCGAGGAAATGCATGTGCAGTTGAATCTGGTGTGTTCAGTGTGTCTTCTCATATGGACTTGTGAATTAACACTGGTTAAAAAAAATCCAGAACAATCCACCACCCAACCACAAAACAAAATCTTTCTTTTCTGTCTCCTCTTCTGTCCCAACTGACACCCTCCCTCCCCAAACAAATCCATGAATTTTCTTGACTTCTGTTAATGTGAGAGTCTTTTAAAACTGATATCATGAGGAGCTTAGACAGTCATGTCACCCACATTCTAATGTCTCCCTTAGAGACAACTTGTTTTGAGCTGATTTTGAATTTTTGAACCAGTTCCAAACAAATTTATTTGGAAGTGCATTTCTGAAATGGGAGTTCCCACAGATTCTGTGAGGTCAGATTGAAGAGAGTTATGTTACCATCACTGCTGTATAAGAACACCCTTATGAGAAAGTGAGGTTGGCCCTTCTGCTTGTAGGATTTCATGTTCTTCATAAAATAAGTGTATTTTTTCATTTTTTTTCTTCTTCTAAAGTAGATTTGGTCCTTAATAGACTACAGTCTAGACTACTTGATTTCTAGAATGTGAAACAGTTCACTGGAAGATGAACTTCTGATGCATTGTGTTTTGGTTGGTTTTTTTTTAAACGACGCTTTTAACTATTGCTTTAACAGTTCTGAGTGTAAGAGTTATGTTGTGTTTCTGTGAGCAAAGCTGAGTGTAGGGCACAGAAGACACTTGTACCAGTATGCCTTGTTTCCTTGGGTATTTCTGATTTATGATGATTTGTGCTTTTAAGTATTTCCTTTGCATATTTTCCTTTTCAATTGTTTGATAGGATTACTTAATGAACTGCAGTAAAAGTACTGAAAGTCAATTCCTTAGGATTGTAAGGCATAAACTAATGAATAGTATAAAATTTATCTTTCTTCTCCAGAATGGCTTCTGGCTCTTTTAATCTGTTAGCCTGTGTCTGTCTTGGTAAAACAGTGCTTGTAATTCAATATATTAATCTGTTAATTACATTAAATATGTATCATTGAATGTACAGCAATCTTTTCATTGTTCTGTAAAACAACTATTAAGGAATTAGAGTAACATTTAGCGTGCTGAATTTGAAGCAGTAGTCTCTGAAGACATGCAGATTCTTTGGCTCCTTATGCCTTGCTTGCTAATACATATCACAATGTGCTGTGTGGGTCCAGGGATCTAGATACAGTATGGTTCAATTTGTATGATTTAAGATAAATCTTACAGACTAGAGGACTAAGTTTATAAGACTGGCTGAAAGGAGGTTGTAAAAGACAAGGGAGGATGTGAAGGAAAGCATATGAATCATAATAGTTACCTTTTTCTCTGAAGACATACTTGTCAGCTTGGATAACTTAAAGATTTAACACTATACAGTGACTATTTCTAGGTAAACTGTGGAGGAGTGAATGTGTAAACATGATAAAAAGGCCAAGAAAATATGCCAGGCTGCTTTTCTTGGGTTTAGTTTCTCTTTCTCTTTGCTCTTCATGACCTTTTAGGACAGTCTGGTTTTGTTCAAAATTTCTATGAAAGTAATAACTACGCTGAACAATATTCATCTCAAGCACCATAACAGGATGCATTACTATGAGTATGGTTTTGAATGTGTGATGGGTTTGTCATTTGATTTGTAGGGATACATATGAAGCCAGGAATGTTCATTTCTATGTATGATTTTTAAGCAATTTCTTGGTGACCTTCTTTTGTACCTGTTCAAGTAAATTGTTAAATTCTCTTTGCAGAAAACAGAGAAATGAACAAGACAAGTGGGCGACTTAACAGCGGTATCCCCCAGGTTCCAGTGAAAAGACAAGAATCAGAGTTTGATTTCTTCAGGCAATCGCTACCAGTTTTTGAAAAGCAGGAAGAAATTGTCAAAATAATAAAGGACAATAAAGTTGCTTTGATTGTAGGAGAGACTGGATCAGGAAAAACTACTCAAGTATGTTTCTTTAACAAAATTTAAAAAAAAAGATATTTAAACAAAACTAATGCCAGTTTTGTAATATTTATATAAGGGATTTCTTTATGCTAGTTTTAAGGTTTTTGTTTCCCTATATGGTTGAAAGTCTTGTCTTAGTTCTAACTAATTTTCTTGCCTTTGAAATACTAATTTAGCAGATACTTACTAAAAACCTAAATGGTTCTGCACAGTTTTCTGATAAATACTAGTATTTTGTTAATAGGAAATATTGAAGGGAAAGTAACTGATTTGTATAGCCCTTTTCCTTCTAAAGCTAGTTGTAGAGTAGAATATTAGTATGTTGAAATGAAAGATTACCAGCAGGTATGTTTTTTTATCAATTTCTTTGAAGCAGGAGAGAGAAGCTTCAACTATTTTTTTTTAAACAGATTAAACTTAAAAGCAGAAATTGATTTTTTGCTGCCTTTCTGACCCTTCAAGTATTTTTGCAATGATAATCCTATTGTGAATACTTTTGCGACCTGTGTGATACTGAGATACAGTTAAATTGTTTCGCCATGGTAAAAAAGCTATGACCACTTCTTTACAGATCCCTCAGTTCCTTCTTGATGACTGTTACAAAAGTGGAACTCCCTGTCGTATATTTTGCACTCAGCCAAGACGTTTGGCAGCTGTTGCTGTGGCTGAAAGAGTGGCAGCAGAAAGAAGAGAAAAGATTGGCCAGACTATTGGTTATCAGATCCGATTAGAAAGCAGGTACTAACCATATCTCTCAGTCAGCTGCTCTTGTGTTGGTATTTTTAGTCTGTTGTACATTTAAACTACGGTGTATTTGGGATACAGCCAGTGAAAGTCCAGTATGTAAAGTATAGGTAGGATATGTTATCCGAGCAACAGAATGTATAAGTGAAAAAGAGAATTTTTCTCCTGTATTTTGCAGTTTCATGCAATAACTTGTCTTTTGTAAGTGAATTACAGGTGTTTCCTCTTGATTTCTGCTTGGGGTGTGTGTGGAATTCTTTGTCTTATTTTCAGATCAAGTGTACACTTTGCTCATATCCCCTTCCCTATTTGCAACATGTATAGATCCAAAAGTTCTGCAGGCTTTGAAAACAGGTAGGAAGACTAACATGGTGTAAGAAATGCTATACAGTGAGAGTTAATAGGGGATGCAAAAGGAAAAAAAACACATTTCACTTTCATGTTTTAAAGTTGACCATTTTTTACCAATCTAGTTTTTTTATGTTTAACGCATGAAGTGATACAAAAGTAGAGATTTCTAAGTCAGCTGAGGAATTTGTTCCTAAAGCAGTGCAGGAATGGATGGATGAATGAAGATTGGATGCGGATTCTAGATTCTTTGAACTGTGCAGATAGTGGAATTTCCAGGAGTGGGCAGCTGTTGGGATGTGGGTGAGGAGAGGATGGCAAAAGTTATAGTTGGTTCTGTTGCATGTATGGATGAAGATAGCACATGGCTAATGAAAATGAATGCGCTTGAACAAGAAAGCCAGGTTAAAGAAGAATTTGAATACACGTACAAAAGCTCAGAAGGCTATTAAAGCATTAAAAGAGCTGGTGAAGATGAGCTGCAGATAAGCTGGGTAATTAATGTGTTGGAGTACTATGCTGGCTGAAGAAGAACAAAGTATAGGTCACGTGAAAATGGAAAAGTTATTGGAGATCAATGCAAAAAATCCTGCTTGAAAAGAACGAATAGATTATCTCAAGAGAGCGAAAAAGTGATATGGCAGTGTTTCCGTCTCTGGGCAAAAAGGATCTGGGATGGAGGTGTTTAAAGTAACACAGTCTAGTTTTTAAGTTTATTAACTATTAGACAGCAATGATGATTTCTGGAAGGCTACTGAATAAAGAGTAGAGATACGTAAAGTAAAGCATTTCCATCTTTGATGTGTTCCTTGAATTTTTAATATGTAGGAGGATTTTTGAAAGGAGGTATGAATTCCAAACTTGTAAGGGGATACACAGATGATAAAATACGAGCTCACATCCTCCAGAGAAGTACTGTACAGTATGATACAGAGGAACTTTTCAGTACTTAAGGTGGCAGTGCTGGAGAAAGTAGTGGCAATTGCAGTTTTTGCCTGCACAGCAGACTCTGCTGTAGGTACTAGAATAGTAACATTTAAAGATTTTCTTAAATTCTTGAGGAGAAAAATGAAAGCATTTGAAAAGGATCAGCTGATTTCTTATTTGTGATTCAGTGAAGTACAGAGAAATACAAAGACTATATCCAAACATATATGCTGAAGAATTTGAACCTGTTTTTCCAAAGCAGTTGACACTGAATTTTCCAGTAAATTGAACGACATGGAGAGCTTTGCAAGGTTCTGTTTCACTTGCTTGCTTATTTATTTGTTTAAATTTCAGTCTCACTTTGTCTTTTAATCCATTGTCTGAAGTTTCAGGGCATAAGCACTAAGATTCTGTAGGAACTCTCCGGAAATAGGCATGGCTTAAAAAATGTAGTATGCATGAATTCTTTGGTGAGAGAATTATAAACTCCACATCTGGTGAGCAGCTGTTCAATCCTTTAGTTTTCAGTAAGTAGTGGAAAGCTAGCATGTATTTGAATCGTGTTAAAAAAGGCTGAGGTATCTCTACAAACTATTCAACAGGGTTTCTCCAAAGACACTGTTAACATTTTGCACTAATGGCGTACTACTTCGCACCCTGATTGCAGGAGACAGCACACTATCGACAGTGACGCATGTTATTGTGGTAAGTCCTGTTGTATTTTATGTGAGGTGAAGCAACATGTATTACTTGTTAGATGGAAGATGAGATCCTAGAGGTTTTTTTACTAATTTGAGCATTTAAGCTGGTTTTGTTTGGATAAAATCTAAATTAACTTGAAAGACTTACCGAATATTTATTGTAACATTGGTTTTGGTTTCCTTTTTTTTAGAAGTATCTTATTTTATGTTCATGCCAATAATTGTGGCTTGTGCATTGACAGAGCAGTCTGTTCTGATGTCTTTATAAAACTTTTTGAACTATTTTTTGACTTCTGTATAGCTTGAAAAAACCCTTACTTCAACTAGACTTACATTTTAATGCATCTGTAATGTACCAGCATATTATATATTTTAGTTTTTTAAAAAGTTCATATGTGTGAAAAGTTATAATCTTGGATCTGTGATGTTTACCTGTTGTGGTTTGCTTTTTTTTTCTTTTTTTGTTCTTTTGTTACAGGACGAAGTACATGAGAGGGATAGGATCAGTGACTTCTTGTTAATAAAACTGAGAGATGTGTTGCAAGAACAAACTCATCTAAAACTAATTATTTCTAGTGCAGCTCTAGATGCAGATCTCTTTATTAGGTACTTTGGAAGTTGCCCAGTAATACACAGTAAGTATTTATGTAAAATCTTAAATCTGACTATATGTGCCCTAGGACTTACAGGTCTTACTGAACTATAGCAAACCATTTTGAATAAGGGAGCATGTTAAATTACATTGAGAATTGCAGCAATGCTTGTTGGTCATTTGTTCATTTTTGTTGTTTCTTAACCATTTGCACCTACTTCAGAGTCAAGTGTTTTTGCCACAGGGAGTTCTGTAAGTTCAGGGCTGTCCTGGGCCTCACCACATTAAATTCAAGAAGCAGGAGAAGGTTCTTAAAGTGCTGATCTCCCTGGTGAGGTGGACCCTAAGATTTACAAAAGTGTGTTACATATTAATTCATTCCAGTAGATTCTTTTGCCTCACAGAGATTGCTGCTGCTTACTGGATGAAACACAGATAACTGCCCTTGGTTACTTCAGAAATACAGTTCTAGGCAAATACAGTTTTCATGTTTTAATCACATGATTCTTTATTTTAAAGATAATTATTAGCTGCTAAACATTGAGAAAAGACATGTCAATTTGTTAATTTATGTTCAGACTCGATAATCGGTAGTTGGATTATATTCAAATGCAAATAGAAGCCATCATTATAGCTGTTTTAATTTCATTTGACTGATCTTTAGTAGAGGTAAAACGTAGATGTGTGGGAGATGCTTTTTATAAAAAAATTTCACCTCTTAGCTTGCAGTTTTTCTGGATGGGTGACGTCCTCTGGCACCTCACAGTCCTCTTTCTTTTTCCTCAATGATGTCTTAAGTATAACGCGATTTGAAAATAAGCTTTTAAGAGAAATCTTTTCTTTAGGAGGGAGGTCCTAGGTGACTTAAACTCAGCTATGGCAAAGTCTGCTAAAGAACCAAAAATAAAAATCTAGATATTTCAGTTCTTCATATGAAAAATAATCCGTTAATGTCCATGAATAAGGTCTGAAAAACTGTGATATTGAAGAAGAAATCAGAGTAAATTCTTAAGAGATAAAGACCACTTGGAATGTCTCATTTGTCAGGGAGTATGCAGTGAAGGAAGCCAATTTTGGCTGAAGTAATTGAGGAAACTGAGAGGAGAAAAAGTAGTTTAATACAAAAATGGCAATCTACTACTGCCTACAGGTGGCAGGCTTACACAGTGAATTCTTTTTTGTAACCATAAACAGAAATGGGTGTTTTTTCCTTATTTTGATGAAATTGCAATTAATAGCTGTCAATCATGTGCATCACTTGCTATAACACAGAATTGAAGAGGTTTATGATAAACAAAATACCGGATCTGGCATTTCCCTTTTGCAGTGTTGTTTTATTTTGTGGCCCAGTAGTCTTAAGAAAAGCTCCAGTGAGAGTGACTGTTACAAGATTTTCTTTAAGGACAGTGGTATTTCCTTAAATCCATCCCTAATAATTTTTACTTCACTTTTTGTGTGCTTTTAAAAAATTAAGATTATGAAGAAAGCTGTAATATTCTATAAATTATTTTTACTTTCAGTACCAGGAACACCTTTTGAAGTTAAAGAGATGTTTTTGGAGGACATTTTAAGAAGCACTGGGTATACAAACAAAGAGATGGTAAAGTACAAAAAAGAGAAACAGCAAGGTTGGTGTACTTCTTAATTGTTAAGATTGGCAGTGAGTCTCATTGATGGATTGAAGAACTAAGTGGTGCGATTCTCTGTTAAGATTCTGAAGTCAATGTGAAATGGGACATGATTAGATGACAGCAAGCATCTTCAGGGTCTTAGTGTTTACATTATTGAAGTTGGTTATGTAAATTTTTAAAAAATATTTTCACTTTCTTTCAATGGTTGCATTCTTTTTGCCTTCAGTTGATAAATGTTCTATTTTTCCTGATTATTGTGGAATAGAATTGCGTATAACTGGGGGTTTTGCCCACAGGAAAGCTGCAGAAGCAGAAGATATTATATGCTGACTTTTGGGTGCAAATTAGAGTGCAGCCACTGAAGAGGACAGAATTTTGTACATCTTGCACAGAATTGATTCTTATTAGTAACATTTTTCACTGCGTTCTTCAGATATGGTTGTGTATAACCCAGAAGCACTGTCGCACTTGAACTTAATATAGTTGTTTGTCAGTTGATTATAAGTAGATACATTATTGGGAAGTTTTCCTGACAAGTGAAAGTCATGATCCTAGTGTAAATTTTAAAAAAAAAGGAGGGGGGCAAAAATCAAATCTATAACCTAAAATCCTAACTGAATGTTTATCCTAGTGCTCAGCTCTGATCACTGTGGATAGAAAAATTTAGTTATGGCACTGGTGTCTTCTGCTGTTTCTTATACTCAGATTGTTACCTGCAGGAACTGTTATCAGTTTGTTATTTCACTTCTGGAGAAAAGATCTGGACTGAGAATTGTGTAGAAAATACTTACTTAGGAAGCTCATTTGAATGCAGTAATTTGGAATACTTTAGCACCCAAACAGTATTTTTTACCTTTTTGTTACAGCAGATGTGTACAGTGGTGCACTTTGGGTGCTGTTAAACGTGAAATTTATAGTGGACTGGTAACAATGTTCTAGATGAAATAAAAGAATAGGTAAAACTTTGTGACTTGATATAACTATGGGTAAATCAAGATAACTGTAAAACTTTTTGGAAATACTTTGTGTTCTAGAAGAACAACAGCAGAGCACTCTTACTGAGTGGTGTTCTGCACAAGAAACTAATAGCATACTGGAATCTCGGAGACAAATGTCTGTTCCAAGTACAACTGAAGAATATCGTCTGTTGGATGATGGTGGTGACACAGTATTTAATCAACTGGTAAGTTTTTTGCGTTTGTTGAAAGAGATGTTTAAATTTGTATTTTATTATTACTACCCATTTAAAAACGGTTTTCTAAATATTCTACTCCTGTAGAGTTTCTAGAAGTATATTAACATATTTTAATAACGTTTTAAAATTAGCATGAGCTACTCTAGCTAAAGTGTGCTTTTCAGTTATGATGATTGTACGTAGCTTTTGTTTAGATCAAGTGGCTAGACTGCCATTATTTAAAGTACTTGCATGTGATAAAATAAATGCTTTAGCTGATATCCAAATGCTGTACTTGGAAAACTGACTGTTCAAATTCTTTGTGGTAAACATATGAGAATAAAGACAACTTTTTGAAGAAATTAATCTTTCCATACTGTTTTTTCTCTTCAGACTGAAAAAGATGAGGATTGCCTTGAACCATGGCTAATAAAAGAAATGGATTCTAGTCTTTCTGACATCTGGTTGAACAGAGATGTTGATTCCTTTGCTCAGGTGTTCCATCTCATTTTAACTGAAAATGTCAGTGGTAAGTTTCTCATCTAACTGCATAAGAAGAAACAGTCACAAAATAATTGAATTTGTGTGGCTACTTTATCTCCAGTTTCAAATGTTGTTAGCTTTTGAATTCTGATGCCTATTGAAAAAATGAATAGGGTTAGCAAAATTTATTTAGTTATATGCATTAATATATTAACATATTAATATTAGTTTA